ACACACACACACACACACACACACACACACACACACACACACACACACACACACACAATGCACATACACACAGATATACATATATGTAGAAGCTGCGATTGCATTGCATATGCAACATGTTCAGCTACAGCCAACGGCCACGCCCCTTACCACAAGCCAATCCCCAATTACCGCCCCTCGGCGGCCCACTCAGCGCGTTCGTTCTCCTTAGCGCTTGTCGCTGCTATTGAGATAAGAAAATTTATTGGCTGCGCATGTTCTTTGTGACAGATTTCGATTTATGTGCCTTTTATATGTTTGGCATGAGCATTTTTTATTTAAATTTCCTTTTGTCTCTTGCAGCAGTAGCAGCGGCAGCAGCGACGACATTTCTGTTCCTGCTTTAAGTGGACATCCTTTAAATGTAGCGCATAATGAGAGAACACTGTAGCCGAAGCTCTCTTTAGCCATTATTAATGAGCAGCAATTGAAAAAGCCAGCCAATTTCAAGGCACAACTGAAATTGTTGAGCTACCGAAAATTATATTTTTATACATATTTATCTTAAATATTTTAGTATTTAAAATTATGCAGAATGGGAATTTAACATATATTTAATATTTATATGCTCAAATTAAATGTTTTAGAATTTTAAATCATTTTTATATATATTATATATATTACATATGCCTAGACAATCACTTATCTACTTATTTCATTTCAATTATTATTTCATATGAATTTTTGTTATAATTTCAAGAAATGGTGGCAAATGTTTTTATTAATTTCTATATATTTTTAAATTATTAGTATTTTATTATTTACCCATTTTTTTTTTCTTAAATCATGTTAATATATTCAAATTAAATGGTTAAAACAAAAACATTGATGCATTTTAAAACTATTAAATTGAATTAATTTTACTTAACAGAGAATACAATAAGGAAATATATTATGGAAAAATAAAATGCATCAGGCAAAAAAATTTCAATTAATTGCGGATATCGTCAGAAATTACAGCAAGTACGTTGCAAATTCTTGAAGTGTACTTTATGTATATATGACGAGGCGATAGCCTTGTGGCGGATAAGCGCAAAAGGGACCTGCAAACGAGGAAGACGGAGAGGAAAATCGAAAGAGCTGGGCTTGTGGTTCAAGCTCATTTGGCAGCTGCTCTTTTCAGTCCATGTGCTCCTCAATTTGCACTCTGTCGGGAAGCAACAGTAAGAGGGATGCAGGAGTGGCCCAAGGAGCAGGGCTACCAACCGAAAATGTGCCTGGGCTCTCGTTCAGTCTCGAGCTGATTCTTAAAATCCCAATTAATGCTACAGGCTGCTCTGCCCCTTTGAGTCTTCTGCCAGTGCTGTCAGCTTAATGTAAATCATGCGCTTCGTGACCAGTGGCACAGCTTGGCTCATGGCAAAACAGTAGGCGGGAGTCGAGGCAGTCTAAGAGCACATCAATTGGATGCTGGGAGTCAATGCTTGCGACATACTATGGATCAGAGACTCTGTGAGACTTTAAATATTTTGATTAATGGCAACGTAAATCAAAGCCTAAATGAATTCAAATGATTTGGAAATTGTTGAAAATTGTGCGCACAATGCGATTGCAGGTTATTAATTAGTGTGGCAATTATGAGCAAAAACTTGGACAGGTAACATTCTAAAATTAACATTTTCATTTTGATTTACAGTTTGTGCTTCATTTCCATTTTACCTTGCTCAGTTCCTTAGGTCCTCAGCTCCTCAGTACCTCAGCTGCCATTGACCATTACCATTTGCAGCTGGCTGGGGAATGACATTTGTGCTGTTTATTTATGCCGTTTGACTTTCACTTCCAAGTGGAGAGCGAATGAATTTTCACTTACACTTTGCACTTTTCTTGGGCCACACGTCACTCGTCGAAGTTGGCAAACTTTGCTTGTCATAAATGAAAAGCCTGCCTCAGTGAAAAACAAAAACAGAAACAACACACCAAAAAAGAAGAGGAAAACCAACAAACTGCAAAACTGGAGACTGGCAAAAGTAATGAAAAGTCAGCCACAGTAGGCTGAGCAAAGAGGAAAGAAAAAGAGACGAAAATATGGAGAGGAACTTTTCTCGAAAAGTGAAAAGCAACAAAATTACAAACGCAAGTCTTGCACAAGTTCGCCAAATACTCGTCGAGCCTCAGCGCAAGAGAGTAATTGAGGGAGCACGACGAATGCGTATAGAGTGTACGTTAAAAGGGATCAAAGTTGCTTTTGCCTGCCGTTTTCTCGTAATTTAATTAAAGGCCTTTGCATTTGGTCCACTCACCCACACGCACACACTCACAGTCAGCTGGCCAAGCTAACCAGCCAACTGACTGACAATCCCCACTTAAGAGCCGCCCACAGTTAAGCATCCTCCTCTGCTGTCCGACTGCTAGATATACATATATTTTTTATCCTGCTCTCCTCGCCTTACAGTCTCAATTTCAATCCGAAGTCATCAAGTTGACTCTTCACTGTTGTGTTTCAGTTATTTGTTTGTTTGCTCGGGTAGCTTTCCTTTCGTTTCGTTTTTTTGCCTCTTTACTTTCTTGTGTCATGATATTAAGCGGCCGGGTTGACTTTTTGGACATTTTAATTTACATTAAATTAGTCATAATGTCAATTCGGCGGTGGCTTAAGAGATTGGGTAAGTGACATTTAGAACCCGCTTGCTCAGCCATAATGAAATATATGTACAAATTTTGTATATACATTTAATATTATGGTAAAGTGTTTAATAGAGAGGAAACGGAATGCAAGCATATAATCACTGTATAAAAGGTTATTTCGTTGATTTACCTTAGCCTTACATTCATTTTAAGTTGTTATCCTTCTCCGGTCTTTGCAGCATCGCAGCTTTCGCTGTCAATGCTAATGAAGTATGACTGAGTGGGATTCGTTGCTTTCTAAAGACCTTGACAATCCATAAGCACTTTCCAATTAAGCAAATGGAACAAATTCTTGTAGCTGTTGCACATATGGGGCTGGGCTGGCATTGAGAGAGGTGTTGATAACAGGGCCCAGACAGCTCTGACGGCTTTCAGCATTAGGCAACAATCGTAACAATTGTCTTGCCGTTGCTCATTCGCTGGCCAAGTGCATTTTTTTGTTAGACTTGTTATTTTAGTATCCTTTGCAATCCCCATTCCCCGATCCTCGCATTCGCAGTGTTTATGTGGGCTTTACATTTTCATGCTGGCATTGGTCGACGTCGCAGCATCATTGCCTTCGCTGTTGCCCTCGCTTTCGCCCCAGCATTCGTTTCAATTAAGCAAATCCCCCTAAGTGCCAAGGCGTGTACGTGGGCCGCTCTGCCGGCCACTTTGTCAACATAGACAAGGCGAATTGCTGCCGTGCCATGGCCTGCTATGGCATTGCCGAGTCTCGTGCCGACCCTCCCCCCCCGACAGGGCGCTGCGTTTAACAATTAAAGGGATGCACTTGAAATGCCATCACGTACACGGCGCGTAAACAACACGTTAGGCGTCGTGAGCTGCAAATCAAAACCGCCCGCCCACGGTGCCGTCCATTGACTGGACCTGCCTGCACAGAGCAGAGCCTGCCAGCCCTCCTGATGGCTGCTGCTGAGTGCCTGATTTGGCCGGCATGCCATCGACATGCCGCTCCCTATTTGCATATATGCGGGCCTCGATGTGTGCAATGCGTCAGCTGCAATGCGGTTTAAAACTGCACAGCTACACACACACTCACACAAATACAACAGTGCTCCCACACCCACACACACACACACACACACACACAAAGTCAAACTAAGCGCCGCGGATTTGATGATGTGACATTGAGTAAAGATGATGGATTCATCAGCGTATGCAAAATGCTGTCACACGCTTTGTCGTCGTCAGTCGTCCTGTTCCCGTTCTCATTCAACATCTCCTGCTTGTCCTCGTCTCCATCTGGCTGCCTGGCTGCCTCGCTCATCAACATCAACATCATAGTCGAGCATGATGCCAACTCCGACGCGATGATAAACGAACGTGATTTCGCTGCTGGCTTGCTCACACTCGCCGTCTCTCTCTCTCTCTCTCTCGCTGTCTCTCTCTTTGCTGCGATATCTATCCCAGTTCGCTCTGCCTTTTTCCCACTGCACAAGTTCTAGTGTGCGGCGCATAATGAAAATTTCATGTAAATGAGCATAAAATATCTTTTTCATTTCACTCCGGCTCAGTCAGCCAGGCAGCAGGCGGCGACCGAGACAAATGTCATCTTATGAATTAAAATGCCTTATCATGCTGATTTTTTTCACCCACCATCTCATTTTCTTCCATCAGCAATCTGTTCCCCACTGAGGTGCCGCCAGCTCCTCCCGTTGCTGCAATTCTGTTTTGATGGACATCAAAGCTGACTAATTAGTGTGCATGATCTGCGCTTTAATGTCAGCGGGAACTGTGAGAGTCGCATAACCAAATCGAGTTCAGGTTTTGGATGAGTTGATTTTGCTCTCAGCACTTCTCAGTACTCTTTGGTGTCAGCTCGCTCATCGTGTCAGTTACTGGGTAATATGCATATACATATATTTATATATATTCAGCGAGAGCTTATCCATATTTCTCTCCAGGATGACCTCTGCCCTTATCTACCTCTTCAACCGGCTTGAATTTTAATTTCGCAAACAATCCCTGGAACACTTGTAACATGTGTAAGCAGAGCTTATTTCACAGCGCTCGAGAGACGGCGACAAAGCTGCGGGGCATTGGCGTCACCTCGCTTGGCTCTACGTTGGAGCAGCGGGGCAGCCTTGTAAGTGCAGACCGAACCACTTGATAATGAGGGTGTCGCCATAATGCCCAGAACGGACGACACGACCCCCGCTTGGGCTGACCTCTGGGCGGCCATTTAATCACTAATTACATGCACCGCTGCCATGGCAAACAATCAGCCGGCAGTTACCTGGGGTCATAATTAGTGTAAGCAAATGTAGAAAAGAAATCTTAGAGCTGGCACAGATAGCCAAGGCAAAGAAGAAGAAGCATAAAAAACTTGCCTTGGAGGAAGCAGACAAAAAATACAGAGAGAACCAGCAGAAATCCGAAGACTCAAACTGTGCAAAAAGTTGCGGTTAAGGCAAATAGATGTCTCGCTGTTGCTGTTGTTGTTGTTGTTGTTGTAGTTCTCGCTGAGCAGCATCTTCACAGCGCATTTGCTGGCCAAAAGGTGTGAAAATACAAACATTTAGCTGTTTCTCTTTGCTGCTGCTGCTGCATCTTTGGCGTTTATCGTTTTATGCCTTTGCCTTTGCCGCTGCCTTCGCCTTTGCTTTTGCCGTTGCCACTGTCGCGATGCGAAACTGTAATTAAAATTAATTGGAGGCTTCTCTTGTGGTCATGCTGAGATGCTGTATCGCTTAATTAACACAGATAAAAAATATAAAAAAAAAAAAAAAAAAACAGAAAAATCGAATAAGCTTATTCTAATGAATTTTCGCTCTTTAAAATTCATAGAGCTCGACTTAAACGCAACTCCGTTCGATAGATTCGACTCTGGACTTGCTAACTTGGCCGAACGTAACTTTCGAGCAAGTTTCCCAAAAGCACACTAAGCAAAATAGTCAATAAATTGTTTACATGGCAAATTGATCCCAGGCGTGCATTAGATGAGAAGAAATGAGTTGACTTTGAGTGAAAATAGCAACAACAAATGCATTGAGAAATAATACAATAGTGGCTGGAGCGAGGATAGGAAAGTTGCGCTCGGGCTCTGCTCAGGACATTTGGGGCACTCATAAATATCTAGATCTCGGTGAGGCTTCGGCAAAATGGCAAAGAAAATACATATTAAATACAAATCAAGATGGGAAAGTAAAAGGAGATAAAGAGGAAGTATTTTAAGCTTAAATATGTATTAAAAATATTTAAATAAATATAATGTATAACATAAATAAAACATTTGACACTGTATACCAAAGCACAAAATAAATAAATAAATAAAATAAAATTAAAATATATAAGCAAAGTGTAGTCAGATTGATGACTGGCTAATGTCAGCTTTAATTGAAATGGATCTATAATCTGCACTTGCAATTGCAAAACACTTCAGTGCTAGTTGTGGATTAAGATTGAATCTGATTAAAATGCCATTACTACTGTCTCTTCAAGCTCTGCTCCATGAGCATCAACTGCAAGAGTAGTAACAACAATAATTTATATATTTCCACGTACAGATAGTTCAGTCTTAATAAGATAATCGATAAGCGGCGATGCTCTGACAGATTTGCATATAATCAATTGCTGCGGTGTTTGTTTCTGTTGCTGATGCTGGCGCTGCCTCAACTACGGCTGTGCAACGCGGCGTATGAAATTAATGCTGCGGTTTGTAACGCATTAATTGATAATTAATTAAACATTGCGCAAAACTGCAAGAGTTGCGGCTAACAGTGCATTTAATGCACACAGTCAGCTGCGGAACTGCGCCATCAATTAAAACACGCATACGCAGTGTATTGCCGCCAGGACAACACTTCTCCTGCCACATAAGCAAATTATTATTTGTATGACCCGAATGGGAAGTGCGCTCTAATTATGGCAAATAGTAACGGCACAAGGCCGACGAGACTTGATACGGATTATAAGGGCACAGTTGCGTTGGTGTTTTAAAAATAAAGCACAAATTAATTGCAGTATATATAGAGGAATTTAATTTATTGGCAGCATACAAAGTTGTCTATAAATATTGAAGCAATATATGCGCTGCTCCAGCTGAATTATATTGCTGTTATCAATTTGTCGTATGTGACCGGGACTGCAATGGAATATTGGAGAATAAACTGGGAGGGATGGACAAAGAGAAGCTGACGTGGTTCTGTTAAATTTCTTGAAGAGCTGCATAAATGAATTGAGTAAATGAGCTTCTAAAACCAAGAGTCTATCAAGGATCCGTCAGTATGTGTTCATGCTTGTTGTGGAAATATATAAATAGTGCGCATCAACGCTATCATACCTTTTCCACAAATAATTATGACAAACCCTTTCAAGAGTTCGGTATACGCTTGACTAAAAAGCGAAAAAATGTGATCGTCGTGAGAGAGAGAGATAGAGTGTGAGAGAGAGTGAGAGTGAGACTAAGACAGAGAGTGGAAGTGGTAAAGAGAGAGAGTGAGAGAAAGAGAGTGAGTGAGTGAGCGAGGGAGACTGAGAGTGAGAGTGAGAGAACTCAAAAATAGCACGAATCATATGAAAATGTGATCATCCTCAGCCTCACGCAAGGGTGACGGGAAATTACAAAGTAGTTTATTCATGCAATACTTTATTCACTGACTCGATGCCTTTGCTCTTTGGCATCTTTTTCATTCCATTTTAAGGCTTCATTTTGCTTCTTTATTTTCGAATCTACTGAGAGCAGTAAGCTAAGTTGCCTAAAGCATACTCCAGCTCAAAGTCAGCCATTCTGTTCTGTACCTATTCGACTTTATATC